GTCGCGACCAGAGTCGCAGAACGAATTAAGTTCGTGAACCGAGGTACCACTGTATCTGCTTACTTTAGCTGGGCAGCTGGAACAATCTTCACACCTTGGGTGACCCTGCTGGGAATATATACTCTTGACATACTCTCCCAGCATTCATTACTCATCCCTTCCAGGAAGACACATACACACGCGCCATGAGGAGGCAGCATAGCAGGACTTGAGGGGGGCGCGAATCACTTATATGTATACGTGGATGTATGTGTGTAATAAAGGTGTGCACCCCTTCAAAGGCATGAATGTTAACTCCTGCAATTCTTTAAAGCAGCCACAATTTTTGCTGGGGCTCTGCAGAGGACAGCCTGTGTGTATGTGTGTGTAAAAACCTGGCCTCACAACCAATATGGGGAATCTTGTTTCTGTTCAGACATTAGTTTATACTGTTCATACAATCTTAAAGAAAAGTAAACTAACTGATTTCAAAACATAAGGACGATTCCATGAATGCAAAATATTTGCTATTGTTATTCTGCACACTTAGCAAGTTTTCTATTTTTAGCCCAGATGCATGATTTGTTCAACAATCTGAACTCTACAGCTTTGCTAATACAATAAAATTAGCTTCAACCTGCATCAGTCTCTTTTAGTAGTTCAGATATATTACTTATCCCAGGGCATAACTGTCACTAATTTCAGGATGCAAGAAGCAAAACTTGCTGACGTCGGTCTGTTGCTCAACATCCAAGCCTGATTTTTTTCAACAGCACACGGTCTTGAAGGAAATCTGCATATAAGGAGGGGGACAAGAGGGATGGTTTGCTTTTTCGAGATTCTGGAAAAATTCCTTCTTTTGGGGGTTCATTCAAGAACAAAGGACCAGGTTGCATAAAGAGCTTTGTTTTATTAGCTGGCATGAAAAGCACGCGTTTTTTCCATGCATCGATGCAAGAACCGACCGCAATGTGCTAAAATGGCAGCAGTTTGGGAGGTTATATGCCAGTGGAGGGAAATGCCAGATAAAAATAGCCGAATACCTCTAAAAGCCAACCACCAAGGACTTGGACGTCTTGGCTGCTGTGTCCTTTCAGGATGACTCATTTACTTTCACTGGAGAACGCATCCAAAACGAAGTACCTGGCTCTGAAATACATTAGGGAAAATCTCCCTGCAGGAAAGGCTGCAGGGCAAGAATGCATAATGGCTGGAGACCTCTGCATTATTAACCGCCCTTTCAGGAGAGCGGGAGGCGGCGCAGAGCTGCCCTTCCTCGCTCCCGCTTTTGCTCAGCGACGCCTCCTGACTTACGCGCGCTTCCCTCTCCTCACCCGCCTCCACTTCTCTCTCAGACCCACCGCTTCGGAAGAGGCTCGGCTCGGTAACGCGGCACGGTTTCCCTCCTTGGAGGCTTTGCCGGGGGGAGGAGGAGGGATGACACTGCAGAGTCACCGAAGCCAAGCAATTTGCGGCACTCTCTTGTCCCGGGGTGGGGAGGGGGTGGGAGGCCTTCGGTTCTCGGCGGTTCCTGCTGCATGAGCAGGA